TTCTCTCTCTGTCTTTCTTTCTCTCTTATGGTACAACCTCGTTCTTAAAGCTTGATTATGGTTTCTTTCATCACTGTCTTCAGACATTTGTTTTCTTCGCTTGTCTTTTCTTTCTATTTTTTTTTTTTTTTTTTTTTTTACTATCCTTCTATTTATGGTGAAAATGTTTATTTTGTCTGGCTGTGTGTGTGTTTGTATGTATGTATGGTATGTATGCGTGTGTTTGTCAGGGGACGAATTTTTCAATTAAAAAAAAAAAAAAAAAAAAAAAAAAATACATTTCTTTCGACTTTTTCTTCGCACTATTTCGCTTTTATTTCGACACCTTATACATACACATATACACACATATATATATATATATATGTGTGTTTATGTTTATGTTTATGTGCACATGTGTGTATGTGAGTATGTGTGTTTGTACGCGCGTGTGCGTATGTTGCGGGTGGGTGGATGGGTGGGTGTGTATGCTGGCAAGGATAAAATCATTCCGATCGTATTTTTGGATTTTTACATTTTTTTTTTATTTTTTTTTTATTTTTTTTTATGCGTCAGCATTAATTTTCGTCGTCATTATTATTGTTATTATTGTTCTTGTTGTTGCCATTATCGATTATTATTATTATCGTTATTTATCATTGATGTGACGTTCTCGTTCTTTTTTTTTTTTTTGGGAGAGGTGAGAATTGGGGTTGGGTGGGAGTTGGGGTAGGGTAGGGTAGGGTAGGGTGGGGGGAGGGGAAGATTTTCATAATCGTGAATTTAATCGCTTTTGTATCTTTCTATTTTTTTTTTTTTTTATCGGCTGTGTTATCGACTAAAGGACCGTTTTTTATTGGTAAGTTTTATATACATATATATATATATGTGTATAGGGTGACAAAAAAAAAAAAGAAACAGGATTTCGTGACAGTTTTTCTCTTCTCTCTTTTTCCTTTTTTTTTTTTTTCTTTTTTGTTTTGAATTTAGAAAATATATTTATTATATAATCTTTTCTTTTTTTTTTTTTTTTTTCTTTTTAGAATATACATACATACAAACATACATACATATATGTGTGTATGTATACATATATATATATATATATGTGTATGTATATATATATATATATGTGTGTACATATATATATATGTGTATATGAAGACGCAACGAACAAATATTGTCTATTCTAATGAGAAAAGATTTGTAAAGGCAGGCAAATAATATTGTCTCATTAATCAGAATTATTAACATCGGTTGCATGACAAATCGTTAGAATAAATTAGCTTCGAGTAATGGTATGAACGATTATTCGCTGCGATAAAATTTCGTTTTTGTCATTGTTCCATGACTAATAATTACGTACGGTGGTTAAATTAACAGGACACGTGTCTCCTACGTCGAAATATTTATTAGAATATTTCTAACGAACGCGTTAGATAGATTAGATTGAAAGAAAATTTTTAATTATTCTATCTTGAATAACTTTTTATAATATATAAATATATATATATATATATATATTTTTTTTTCATTTTCAATGTCTCTTTTTTTTGTGCTTCTAACGACGATTACGAAAAATTCTAATGTTTCTAATATCAAGTATTAGAAAAGATTTTTAATATTTTTATTTCTACTTAATTCGATTCTATCTATGTAAGAATATTTAATATACATACATACTTATTAGATCATTAAGGAAAAAAATTGTTGACACTTTTTTTCATGTTCGATTAATATTAGAAAATTTTCTAATGCACATATATTAACATTAATTCAATCGAAAAGTTCTAACGTATATTTAATCATTATAAATAATTATTTAAAATTAATAATTATTAAAAATACGATTGACATTTGTTTTATAAAAAAATTTTTATAATTTTATTTGATATTCTAATGATTATTAGAAACTATCTAATGTATTTTATCTATAAAGAAAAAGTTGTAAAATTTCTTCTATTCTAATGATAATTAGAAAGTATCTAATATATCTTTACAAAAGTTATGAAATTTGTTTTCGTTCTAACGATGATTAGAAAGTATTTGATGTATAAATTAGATTTATGAAAAAGTTCTTAAATATGTTTTATATTAATGACGATTAGAAAGTATTCAATTTATTCCATCTGTACAAAAGTTCTAAAATTTGTTTTCATTCTAATGCCGATTAGAAAATATCTAATATATACGTTAGATCTATGAAAGAAGTCATTACATTGTTTTTTTTTTCTTTTTTCATTCTAATAATGATTAGAAAACATCTAATACAAACATTAGATCTATGAAAAGAATTATTAAAACTTTATTTTTTTCATTCTAATGATGAAAAAAATATCAGTAATATTTGCCATTCTAATGGTGATTAAATCTAACGTATGTACATTAGAATCTCGCTTATAAAGTGTAATTAAAAATTTGATTTATTTAAAAAAAAAAAAAAAAAAAAAACAGAAAAAAGAAAGAAATAATTTCAATGAGATTAGAAAATTCATTCTCGTTAAATTCTAAATGACTATTATCGATATTTAATAGTTAAAAATATTATCATCTATTAAGATTTCTAATAAATATTAACGTTAGAGACACGTATTATTATGCTTCATCATGATCTCTTGCTCTCTTGCTCTGGTATCAAATATAACACTGCTAGAAAGATACAGAAATAGCTTGTATTAATATAATGAAATTCTAAAAATAACATTAATCTTTTTTATCAACATATATATATATATATATATATATATATATATATATGTATTTATATATATAAAACCACATGTAGAGACTTAAAGAATATCTTCGTTCTAATTATTTCAAATGTATTCAACAGGATTCGCGTATGTTGGTGGTGCCTGTGTTGTTAACAAACGCTTAGAAAAGGTCAACTCTGTAGCCATCATTGAAGACACTGGTGGCTTCAGTGGTATCATCGTAGCGGCGCACGAAGTTGGTCACTTGTGAGTTTCTCAAAAAAAAAAAAAAAAAAAAAGAAAAGAAAAATATTCATCTGTGAGTTTCTCGAAAGAAAGAAAAAAAACAAATTTTATTCCAAAATCGACAAACGAAAGAATTACTTTGTTTCTTTTTTTTTTTTTTTTATTAATTTATTTATTTGAAATATATTTAAAAATATACTTTTAAAAATGGAGGAAAAGAAAAATCTTCGCACGAAGTTGGTCACTTGTGAATGTCTCGACGAAAATAAAAAGAAAAAAAAAAAAAAAGAAAAAAAAAGAAAAAAGATAAAAAGAAAAAAACAAACGAAAAGTAATAAATTGATCACCTGTGAGTTTCTCGAGAAAAAGAAAACAATTTTTTTTCTCAAAATCGATAACCGAACTACTAACCGTGCTACCCGGTTTTTTTTTTTTAGGTTAATTTGTTTGTATTAAGATATATTAAAAAAAAAAAAAAAAAAAAAAAAAAAAAGGAAAAAAAGAAAAGGAAAGGAAATTTTCTTTTTTTTGGTCTAATCAATGCCGTGAAAAAAAAAATTATTATTAAATTTTTTTTTTTTTGTTTTTTTGTTTTTAGGTTAGGTGCAGTACACGATGGTTCACCACCACCGAGTTATCTTGGTGGACCTGGTGCTGAGAAATGTCGTTGGGAGGATGGTTATATCATGAGCGATCTTAGACATACTGAAAAGGGATTCAAATGGTCCCACTGCAGTGTCTCGTCCTTCCATCATTTTCTAAAGTACGAAATAATATTTTCACATATACACGCGAACAATTATCAGTGCGATGATGCAAAGAATCTAAGAAAAAGAAAAAAAAAAAAAAAAAAAAAAAAAGAAAAGATTAACAAAACACATTAAACGTCGAATCGAAATGATTCGACACTTTCGGGAGAAATTTTTTCTACAAACTTTCGAAATTTTCTTTATCCAATAATTTTGCAAATAATTTTGTGGTGTACCCCTGATGCTCATTGAAAAAATAAAAAATGAATTTCAAAATTCGTTGTAACAACGTAGAAATGATATAATTAAAAAAAAAATAATAATAATAATAAAATACACACACACATATATATATATACTTTTTTTTTTCTTTTTTTTAGTGGCGACACTGCAACGTGTTTGTATAACGCACCCCACGAAGACGAGGCCTTACCAAGAGTTTTACCAGGCAAATTACTATCGTTAGATGCCCAGTGCCGTAAGGATCGCGGTACCAGCGCCTGTTTCGTGAGTAAAAATTTTAAATTAATTATTTTAAATTAATACAATGAATTAAACGAACGTAATAAATCAAATGTCCCTATCGCTTGAAGTAAAGGGAGGAATGTCAAATATCCCTATTCATAAAGAGTCAAAAGTTCCTAAGTGATATAAAAAAAAAAAAAAAAAAAAAAAAAGAAAAAAATATCAATTACTCTTCTTCGAAATTTCATAGACATTTGGATTACATTCGCCATATTATCAGATCGATAATACCGAACTTGTAATTTTGACAATCTGTAAAAAAAACTTCATTTTACATCATTTAAATTATTAAAAATAATATACGTATATATGTATATATACATATATATAAATTAGATTGGAAACTATGAAACGGGCTTTGAATGAAAATAAATAACTAAACAAAAACGCTCGTTTCATAGTTTCCAACCTGATACGTATATATTAGGTTGGAAACTATGAAACGGGCGTTGAATGAAAATAAATAACTAAACAAGAACGCTCGTTTCATAGTTTCCAACCTAATATATACGTATATGTATATGTATATTGACAATGAATTATTTAAAAAAAAAAAAAAATATTATTATATATAAAAAATTATTAGGCATTTTTATGTAGATATATATATATATATATATATCAATAGATATATATATTGATATATTATTTATTTATGATGTTTTTCTATTCTTTTTTATTTTGTTCGGGTACGGGGGGAGAGGGTGATTTGGCTGTAACTAATTGACCTGGGGTTACAGAAAGACGACAGAGTTTGTGCACAATTATTTTGCTTCGACGCTGGATCCGGTTATTGCGTTGCATATCGTCCAGCAGCTGAGGGTTCACCATGTGGCGATGGCCAGGTAAATATAAATTAAAAAAAAAAAATTAATAAAATATAAAAATAAATATAGAAGAGTAAATGAGAAAAAAGGAAAAAAAACAAAATTCTGTTGGTATATTAAATGAATCATATATATATATTAAAAATTTCGAACGTGTCGTTTTTCTTTTTTTTTTTTGTTTTTTTTCTTTTCTTTCGTTTAATTTCTTTCTGTTATTTTTTATTGATTTATTTTCTTTCTTCTTTTTTTTTTTTTTTTGCTTCTTTTTTTTTTCTTGTTGTCTTTAATTTTATTTCAGTATTGTCTCAATGGTAAATGCGTCGCCGAACATGAAAATATAATACCTGATTATACCCAAAATATACCAACTTATGTACGTCGAGACGGTAGTTTCGGACCACCTGCGAACAACAGGCCAATATTTGCACAGTATAATAACACCGATTACAGGTAACTTGACTCACAATTTGTATAAACAATTTAATGAAAATTCGATCGAGAAAGAAAAACGAAAAGGATTAGTAAAGGAATGAGAAAGGAAAATTTTATCCGCCATATTTTACTTTTCATTTTCTTTCAAAATAATCGATCGAATGACGATCAAAATCAAGGTCATTTAACCCTTTAATGCATGATATCTTTTTTCATAAATTTTTAATTACAAAATAAAAAAAAATAAAAAAAAAATATATATATATAATAACGAAGAATCGTCAAATTAATTCTTAATCGTTGATGAAATAAAATTTGTAGAATTTTTTTTATATTTTTCTTTTCTTTTTTTTTTTTTTTTTTTTAATAATTGATTATCACGACAATTCATCCAATTTTATATTGATATTATTATTATTATTATTCATTTGATTATTTGATTATAAGAAATTAATTATCGTAATAAAGAAAAGTAATAAAAGTAATAATAACAATAATGATAAATATTAAAAATTTTATTTTGAATAAATAAATAAAAAAAAATATAAGAAAAATTTAAAGAACATTTAAAGGGTTAATACAATAACATTTAAATAATATTCCACGCAGGTATCCATGGGAAGGAACAACATTTACACCACCAAAATCGAAATTTAAATATTCCCCATACATAACCCCAAATTTATTGACGTCAAGTATTACAACAGCAACAACGACAACAACAACAATAACAAACGTTAAACGTCAATATACACCTACATCAACGGTATACAAATACACGTACACGACTGCCAATAATTTGCTTGCCATTAATGATAAAATTAAAAATAATAGTAATTATAATAACAACAACGACAACAACAATTATGGAAAAATCAACAATGGTGTTAATCGAACAACTACGACTAGCAAGAAAAACAACAGATATAATTTTAATTTTCGTTACAACGTCAATTCTACCCCAAAAGTTGTTAACAATCCTAATGACGTGAATTATCCGAAAATTATACCGTTCAAACGTAAGACCACGTCAACCGTGACGCCATTTTCTCCGACGACATTGGCACATCTTCAAAATGGCCTCCAAAATGGCGAACAAAATGGCGGTCGTGGTAAGAGAATTTTGTGAAAACAATCAAATTAAAAAAATTAAAAAAAAAAAAAAAAAAAAAAAATATATATATAACAAAATATATATATAGAAAAACAAAATTCAATTCTTTCTATCTCGCGTTAATCTTTCTAATATCGAAATCTTTGTCCCTCTCTCTAATTTTATTTTATTTTATTTTAATTTATTTCATTTTATTTTATTCTATTCTATTTATTCAAAATCAAAGCATGACTATACTCCTTCATTATGTCTATATCTTTTTAATCACTATCTCGTTCTTCTTTTAATTTTATCATTATAATTTTTTAACCATGGAAAAAGGATCTAAAAAAAAAAAATATATATATATATGAACATAATTGATCACGAGCGAAAATGCGGACCATAAGCTCGATCATTGTTTTTACATTGTTTTCACGATCTTCTTACTATTCTTTCTTTTTTTTTTTTTTGTTTTTTTCTTTCTTTTTTTTCATTTAATTCACTATTAAGGCAGTGAGAATTTTATGTAAACTTACATCAAACGGGATATTTACATGGAACTACTATGTTACATCAAAAATAATACTAATATGGATACCGATAAAACACATACAACGAATTACATTACATTACATTACATTACATTACATTTACAGGCATACAAAAGGAATTAAATTACGTTACATTACATTTACAGAACATCGAATGAATTAATTATTACAATACATTATATTTATAGGACACAAAATTAATTTTATATTTTTACAATTATATTAGATTAAATTACATGTAATTTTGTAATTACGTTACATTCACGTACATGTAATTTTACAATTACATTACATTGCATCGTTTTAATATTTACATGGATACATTTAAAAAGCACGAAATGATTTATATAATACAATTAAAATTACATTACATCATCACAATTATTATATATATATATATATATATATATATATATATATATATATAATTACAATTACATTGTGTAAACAATTGCACATATATTTTATACATAAATGTACACGTCCTATACTTCGTATTACTACTTGCATCTAATTTGTTTTTTTTGTTTACTAAAACATTCACTTACACATCTGTCCGTTACTATCCTAATCCTAATTCTAATTCTAATTCTAATTCTAATTCTAATTCTAATTCTAATTCTAATTCTAATTCTAATTCCAGGTGGGAATAATCATGTATTTACAGAAACTGATCTCATATAAAACATTTAAATAAATATTTCCTTCTTTTGTTTGTTTTTTTTATTAAACATTGTCTCTCTCTCTCTCTCTCTGTCTCTCTCTCTCTCTCTCTCTCTCTCTCTCTCTCTCTCTTTGTCTCTCTCTCTCTCTGTCTCTTTTTATCTTTATCTGTCTCTTTCTCACACACACGTCCAAGTATATATATATATATATAGATACACACACATACACACGGATAAGTTCGAAATCATTAATAAGGCCCAATTATCTTTAGAAACAGAGGGCGATGAGTGCATGGACCTAGGGCCCGACTGCTTGGATCTGATTGACAGGCTGGGAATATGGCTGTGCCATTTGCAATCCGTAAAGAGCCGTTGCTGTGCGTCCTTGAAGACTATCTGCCCTTAAGGAAAAAAAGAAAAAAGGAAAAAGAAAAAAAATGAGAGAGAATAGAAAGAAAAAGAGAATACGAGCAACTCCTTCGGATATCTTCGAGGTTATCTATCGACAAAATAAAAAAAGGAAAAAAGAAAAAAAAAAAAAGAGAAAAAATAAAAAAGAGAAAAGAAAAAGTAAGAAAAGATAAAAGAAAAAGATCGATTACTACGTACGTCGAAAGAAGAAAAGAAAAACGAAAAAAAAAAAAAACAAACGAAAGGAGAAAAAAAAAAGAAAGTCGAGAAGCCAAAACTATCGTATTTCGTTTTTTTTTATTTTATCTTATTTTCTTTTTTTTTTTGTTTTTTTTTCTTAATTTCCTTACGCAGATCTCGAGAATTTCGATTTAGAGGATCGATTTTATTTGATATTTCTGTAAATCATTTTCCTCAATTTTTCTTTTCTTTTTGTATTTTCTTTTTTTTTTTTTCTCTTTGTTTTCAAGATGTTCAATTGTGATGAACAATTCACGAATTTCAACGTAAACAAAAGAACAAAAATGTACTGCCTTTTGATCTTTAACCCTTGGTCGGATATTTATTATTAATTTTAATTTGATTATTATTATTATTATTATTATATTATTAATTTTAATGTTATTATTATTATTAATTTTACTTGTAATTTTAATTTTATTATTATTAATATTATTATTATTAATTTTAATTGTAATTTTAATGTTATTATTATTATTATTATTATTATTATTATTATTATTATTATTATTATTATTATTATATATTTTTTTTTAATTTTTATTTTTATTATTATTATTATTATTTTCATTCTTCGATGAGAAATTATGCAAAAGAATTTGTACTGGTACAAAATTGCATATTTTCAATTTCGATTTCGAAGAAAAACAAAAACGACTTAATCGTTAATTTTTCCCTTCTTTCTTTTTTTTTTTTTTTTTTCTTTTGATAGATTTCGTGTTGTCTTGTTTTTTTTTTTCTTTTTGAACAATTTTTTTTTTCTTTTTTTTAATTGTAATTATTACTTTGTATTATTTTTTAAGTATCGAAAGATCCTCGATCGTGCAATAAGCCAACGAGTGTCTCACATATTTTCTTTAAGAGTATTAGTTTCTCGTTAAACTATCCGTGTCTTCCTTTCTAATATATTCAAGGCAGGTCTATTGTATAATTGTTTATAAATAAACGAATTATGAAAAGTGAGACCTCAGCTTCATGAGAATCCGCCAATCATCAGAGGTCGTTTTATCTTTTTAATAACGGCCATTTTGCATTCTTCGTTTGTGTATCATATTACCTTATTTTTTTTTCTCTTTCTAAAACATCGATAAAATGTAAACGTTATCTAAACTAAATAATAAAAATTTTACACAATGTAAATTTTACTTATTTATCATTACCTTCATTTCTTTTCTTTTTTTCTTTCGTTCTGATTGCCGATGTATTCGATTGAATTATATTTTTCGTACTAATTATAAAAAATATTTTCAAAAATAAAAAATTCCTATGAAAGAGAACTAAATCAATATAAAATTGTAAACATAAGCTATCGTAGATTATTTGTCAATCAGTTCGGATAAAATAGAACTCTAATATTACCGATATATATATATATATACATATCCTACTCTATCGATAAAACAGACATATTATCGACATTTTTTTCTTACTGAATCGATAAAACAGGATTTTATTATTAGCGACATTTTCGTAATATTTACAAAATGTCAGAGATAAGGGATGCTTTTTTTTCTAATCTCATTTCGATCATTAATCCTTCACTCTTTAGGATCTTATCTGTAATCTTCTGTATTATACTCTATCATTTCTACGTTGTTAAATTAAATTTAGATTCAAAACTTTCGGGTATATAATTATTGCGAACATTATTGAAATTACAGAGTTTGATTAAACGTTGATGCAATGCTATAAAATTATAAATTATCGATAAAAGGGTAAACAAATGTAGATCCTCATTTGATTCGTATTGATATTCTCTACTTGTTTAAAAAAAAAAAAAAAAAAGAATTATGAACCTGGCGAAAGTGAACACTCCTTTGAAATTGCTACAATAATTATTATTAATTAAATCTAATGACTTTCATTTAATACGTTTATTAATAAATTTTCATTTGATTTATTATTAAAAGTAAATTTTCTTTCGACAAATTTTATAAATTTTTATTTACTTTTAATATATTATTAAATATCATATATATATATACATATAAAATATGTTATAAATTTTATTGAAAATAAAATTATTGAAAAAAAAATATTTTTTTTTTTTTTTTTTTTTTTTTTTAATTAAAAATAATCATTTGGATATAAAATGTGTATGGGAATGAAATTTTGTACAAAAAGATTTATTATTAAAAAATAAAATGTAACAATCCGATTAAAAAGAAATTTTACATTTAACATTTATAATCGAACTTAATATTCTTAAAAAATTTCCTATTCTCTCTCTCTCTCTCTCTCTTTTTTTGTTTTTTTTTTTCTTACTCGAACTAGACATCTGAGTACTCAAAATCTACGATAAAATATTCAAATCGATTATAATTCATCTAAATCAATGGGGAAAAAGAAATGTGATCGTGGTTACGTAAAGGACACACCTTTGTTTTGGTTTTATGTTCTTCATAAAAGTCACGTAATTCAATCATTAGACTAAAAATATTTCAGTATAATAATCATATTGACACATTATCATTGCAATTTATTACGTCGTGCACTTTAATCTATTATATTATAGATCATATAGATCATATAGATCATATAGATCATATATCCGTTCAAAATTATAATTGCGTTTTATATGAACAAGTGTTTCTTCGTCTTTCTTTTTTCATTTAATTTTTTTCTCCTTCTTCCTCTTTCTTTTTCTTTTTGTTATACATAATCACCAAATACAAATCAAATTTTAGTTATTCGATTTCTTATATAAAGCGGGCATATCAAATTATTTTTTTACACTTTTACAACGCGTCAACACGGAGTAACGCGTTCGTCCCATTAAGGAATATTATCGGAACAATTTTGAACGTTGAAATTTTGAGAGAAAAAAAAAAGTAGTTAGAAAAAAAAAGAAGAAAAGAAAGAAAAATTAATAAGAACCAACGATTAATGATTTTTATTCGCGATTATGTTTCGAAAAATTATTTTCTTGTGTACAGTAATTGTGTATCACGTACAATGCAAAAAGGTATTTAAAAAAAAAATATATATATATATTTATTTATTTATTTATTTATTTATTTATTTATTTATTTATTTATTTATTTATTTATTTATTTATTTATTTATTTATTTATTTTTCTTTTTGATCATTTTCTGATTGACGAAAAAAATTTTTTTCGTCATTTTCATTACCACGATCATTCGTAACTATTAATCTCATTGAAAGTATTTTTTTCTTTAATTTATAATACGTCGATAAAAATTAATTGTAAAAATATTAATTATGAATATTTTTGATGAAAGAGAGGGGGAAGAAAGAAAAAAAATAAATATATAAACAAATAAATAAATATATGACAAAATTATTTTCGATTCTTTTTTTTCTTTTTTCTTTTTTTTTTTTTTTTTTTTCTTCAATCGTGCGTTTCGTAAAATTTCATTTACAAAAGTATTATCATTTTCAATTTATATTTAATACTTTTACATGATTTTTTTTTATAAATTCAAGAAGAAAAAGGAAAGAGAAAAAAAAAATCGCAAATACAATTTTCAACTAATCATTTTAATGATTTTAATTAACTTTAATCATTTTAATTTTAAGCTTCACGAATATATGACACCGGAAGAAGTGATGGCAGTGTTCCACACAGATCATAAAGAAGGTATTTGAATATTTTTTAATTTCATTAAAAAAAAAAAAAAAAAAAAAAAAAAAAAAAAAAAAAAAAAAATGAATGAAAAAGAAAAGATATATTCGAGCTTAAATTTTTTAAATTGATTCAATTGACCTAAATCAAACCTAAATCATCGTTCAACAAAAATTTCTTATTTTAATTAATTAATTAATTAATTAATTAATTTATTTATTTATTTATTTATTTATTTATTTATTTATTTATTTATTTATTCAAGTCATTTATTTATTATTGAAGGATAATATAAAAGATAGAGAATATAAATGATTAATAAAATGAATGAATTAACTATAGTACCGGATTATGATGTCGTTCCAATAAAACACACCGTCCATCGAAGAAATTTGGATGACGATCAAGAAATACAATTTAAAGCTTTCGACAAAGACATTAAATTGTATCTTAATCCTACGGAGGGAATCCTTGCTGGCGAAAAAACACCCGTATGGACAGTCTCTTCCAATCCAGATTATCCCGAGGGATTAAAATATGATTTAGTACCTAATGTAAGTTCATTTATATTTTTTTCTTTTTTTTTTTTTTAAATACATTTTTTTTAATACGTTAACATATTTTAAGATGACAAATTTTCACAAAGGAGAAAAATTTTTTCTCACTTTTACGACGAATAATTTAATGAAATGAAATATTAATTTAAAGAAAATATAAGAAAAGAATAGAAATTTCCATCGATGTGTCGTCTGAAAAAAATAAAAATAAAAAAGAAAAAAGAAGAAGAAAAAGAAAAAAAGAAAAAAAAAAAGAAGAAAAAAAATATTTTCTCAATGATTATATTTAAAAGACATAATAAAATAATATTTTCTTTCTAGGCCATGAAAGATATAGGGAAAACATTTCATGATATGAATAATACAGCATCGATATTGATGAGATTGGATGCTAATAAAAGATTACATCTTGTAAGTAATAAAATTTCAACGAATAAAAAATATTATTGATTAAATGAAAATTTTTATTTTTTATTTTTTTTTTTTTTTCTCAAGAACGGAATCATTTCTTCCGCTAATAAAGTAATTCGATCATTACCACGACGCATTATAAATGACATATTATACAAAGGATTAAATCTATACGAATCATATCATAATAAAAATTTAACTGATAACGATGATCTTGCATATACTCATCATCATGTTATTTATGATATACCAAAGAATAAAAAAAAACAATACAAAGAATTTAGTAAGTTAAACGTTTAAATTATACAAAGCATTAACATTATTGTAAATTAATATCTAAGAATCTAATGTATTTCATTGAAATTTATTTTCATTTTTAGAATTAACAGATCCAATTAAATACGACAGTAACATTAAAAAAAAACACAATGTACCAGATATTATCTATCCAGAAATATTAATCATAATGGATAACAGTGAATACGCGTAAGTTAAAGGAAAAAGAAAAAAAAAAAAAAAAAAAAAAAAGAAAAAAATAAATAAATAAATCATTTTAATTGTTATAAATTTAATATAAATATAAAAAAAATTTCAAATGTCTAATGATCTCATTGAAAATGTTTCAGATTGGTTGGTAATAATATCGAACATGCCATAAAATATATCCTATCATTTTGGAATGCTGTAGATTTAAGATACAGATTATTAAATAATCCAAAAATTCGATTTAACATTGCCGGTATAGTTATTGCCTTGGTAAGCTGAATTTATTTTCTTAATTTTGTTTTTCTCTCTTTTTCTCTCTCTCTCTCTCTCTCTCTCTCTCTCTCTCTCTTTCTTTATTCATTTAATATTTACTATATATTTTACTATGTATTTCATTTCAGGATAATAATGCAACTTCATACATGGAAAAAAATCGTTTAGAAAGTGATTCGCTTATGGTTGATGTTGATAAAGCTTTACGTGACATGGCAGATTATATTTATAGAGAGACAAGATTTCCAATTGGTTTCTATGACATAGCGATCACTATGACCCAGTAAGAATATATATATATATATATATATTAGATTGGAAACTATGAAATGGGCATTGAATGAAAATAAACAACTAAACAAAAACGCCCGTTTCATAGTTTCCAACCTGATACATATATATTAGATTGGAAACTATGAAACGGGCGTTGAATGTAAATAAATAACTAAACAAAAACGCCCGTTTCATAGTTTCCAACCTGATACATATATATTAGATTGGAAACTATGAAACGGGCGTTGAATGTAAATAAATAACTAAACAAAAACGCCCGTTTCATAGTTTCCAACCTAATATATGCATTTATAAAAAATAATGTAAATTAACAAAATATCTAAAAAAATATTTACTCATTTTTTCAGATTAGATATATGTAACATGTTTGACAATTATTGCGACGATTCGACACTTGGTAAATAATCCTAATTTTATTTCAGATATATTTTATATATATATATATATATATATATATATATATATTAAATATATTAATATAATTGAATTTATTTATTTACACAGGTTATGCGTATGTATCAGGTGCATGTAACAGACAGGACGATAACAAAACTTCAGAAATGGCTGGTATCGTTGAGGATAATGGTGGTTTTAGTGGAATTATACCGGCTGCTCATGAAATTGGCCATTTGTATGTTATTACATTAAAATAAAATATCATATTGTATTCTTATAAATTATTATAAAATAATATTATCATAAAAATTTTTTTTTAGAATTGGTGCAAGACACGATGGTAATCCAAATTATGCTACTGATTGTTCAGAATATGATGGCTACATAATGACCAGTGGATTAATGTTAAATGAAAATGGATTTGAATGGTCCAATTGTACTATAAATGCATTTTATTCCTTTCTCAAGTATGTTTTATCGTTTCAATTTTTATTTATAACAAAATATATATATATATATATATATGAAATTATTATTATTACAGTGAAGATAGAGCAAAATGTCTTTACAATGAACCTGTAAATGATAATCCATTACCGCGAATTCTACCAGGCAAATTAATGTCACTCGATTATCAATGTAAAAAAGTACATGGTCCTGAAGCAGAAGCATGTAATGTAAGTTTACAATTACAAATATTTATATATATACATATGTAAACTTAAAGTGTAAAATATATTAAAATGTTTGTACATTTCAGACTGATCATACTGTTTGTACTAGATTAGATTGTTTAATACCAGGAAATATAAAAGCTTGTACAGCTATAGCACCAGCAGCTGAAGGGTCTCCCTGTGGAAAAGGTGTTGTAAGTACATAAGATTAAACATTATTTATATCAATTAAATTCTTCAACAAAATTAAACAATTTTCTTTCTACAGTAATATCAAATACATATCCTGAAATATTTTCTTTCTCAAAATTGATTATCTTCTTATTTTTTTTTTCTTTTCCAGTTTTGTCTCAATGGTAAATGCGTTTTGGAAGGATCATATATGAAATCTATCAATAATAAATTCTGGTTAAGACGTTTCCAACCATTATTCAAACTTCAAAAGATTGTAAAATTATTTGGCTAATGTAATATACATTAATAGCGAATAATAAATTAATATATTTCAATAGAGATAATAAAATTTTGTAAGGTTAATTATTTTATTTCATTAAAAATAAATATGAAAATTTATAACATTATTATTATCAATTAATAATTTTTGGATCTATACCTATTTCATCGTACAACTCAGTTTTAGTACCAGGATAATTTTCTAAAATACAATCTATTATATCTGTACATAATCTTTTACGTTTAACATATTCACGTGTATATTCGTCCAAAGAGGATTGTGTTTTTCTTTTTGTTTCAGTTAAATCCATACTACCGGTAGATTCAATAAGTTTATCTAATTTATTTGTTAAAACTTTAATACTATCCACTAGTAAAACTTTCTCTTTGTATGCTTCTTCAACAGTGACAGATGATTTTAAAGATTTTAATAATGTCTCTTGATTTTTAATCTCTTTCTCTAAATCTTGATATCTAGTTTCAACGTCGTTCGCATGTGCCTGTAATTCTTTATCGATTCTCATTAATTCCTCTATATCTTGCGTCGAGTCCTGAACAATGCAATAAACTTTTTGCTTTCCATATACCTAATCAAATATAAAAAAAGAACATTTAATTGACATATATATATATATATATATATATATATATTTTGGAGTGTTTGATAGTGTTTAATAAATATACATATATAAATATTTAAATTAATTAAAAATAATTATTATCATAATCATTCTTTTTAATTATAATTTAATATTAATTATATATTATAATTTATGATATGTAATAAATTATAATATATAGATATATATATATATATTTTTTTTTTTGGAGTGTTTCATAGTGTTTAATAAATATACATATATAAATATTTATTTAAAGTATAAATATATAATTAAATATAAATATTTATTATTAATTTATTATTAATCTAAAATAATTATTATCATAATAATAAGTTTTAATTATAATTTAATTTTAATTATATATTATAATAATATTGATTTTAATTATATATATTATAAAAATATATTTTGAAGTGTTTAATAGTGTTTAATAAATATACATATATAAATATTTAAATTAATTATTATGATAATAATTATTTTTAATTATAATTTAATTTTAATTAAATATTATAATTTATGATGTGTAATATATTATAATATATAACTATATATTATAATATATAAATATATATGGCTTAACAATTATTTTCATTATAATAAACATTTAAAAATCTACTTACTTTTTCAAATATCTTTCCTTCTGCTAATAAATGATCAATGGCCTTTTGAACGGCAGATTTTCCAAATTCATTGTGCAAATTCAATACTATATCGTTCACGCTGTAAGGTCTGTTTTGAATTTTTAAATGTTTGTATACGGTATCCATGGCCATTATTTGTTAACCAATAACATTTCTCTATATAACTTATATTAATTTATAAGCTGTAGCAATATTAATTAAAACAATATATATAAATATATATATATATATATATATATATATATATATATATATACATATACAAACATCAATGATTTTGTATTAGATGTATTAATAAAAATTAGATTATCGTCTCTTACCATATAAAATAATTAAAGAAAAAAATAGAATCTAACCATTTTTCAAAGCACATATAATATATTCTGAATTCAACATAAACCACAAAAAATATATTCGTTTATAGAACCATAAAAAAGAAAAAAAAAGAAAAATTAAAATCGTACACTTTTACGATACAATTAATTGGCTGATAAAAGGCGAAAGTTTACAATGCAAGAACATTCGAACAATGAAAAATATCCTATAACCTGTCAACATCAACGAAAACATTATCGACGACGACACTAGAAATCGCTTACAGCGCTTTAGAATATAAAACTAACAATTCACGATAATCGATCAAATGAAACATAAAAATTTTCTTGAAAAATCATTTATCATGATAATAAATTATTGTAGTTATGTTTCAATATAATTTACAATATACAAACATAATAAATATACATGTAAAAATACAATATATAAAAGAGTAATATTTCTATGATATTGGTTATGTTATCATAACTACGGTAGATAACAAATTATCGGCAATATTTTATTACTTACATATGAATTATACGCAGCTTGGTAAAAAATCGAAGAACAATATTATAGATTGCACAAACACACTAAGAAAAATAATAATTTCTTAATGAAAACTGTAGAACAATAAACGATAAAACAAGCCTGTCGGACATCTTGATGCCAATGATGGAAGCAATATACCGACTGAAACGTGATTGGTTATCATCTTAGCGGTAGTCACGTGACATCGATAGATATTTTAAATCTATACCAACAAATGATAACACATAAGAAAAGAGAATTCATTTTAAATGATTGTTCATAATAAAAGAAAAAAAAGAAAAAGGATGAAGTAAATAAAAATATTTTTATTATTATTATTATTATTATTATTTAAAATATTTATTAATATATAAAGATAAATAATAATTAGAAATATTTATTTAAAAACTCACAATTATTTTCGTAATACTATATAAACTATTGAAAAAAATAATAATTATTTAAAAATTTTTAAATAACAAATATAATAGACATATTAATGTTTCTAATACAAAGCGCATTATTTTTTATTATTATTTGAATATATTTCTTATAGAAATTCAAATAATCAATCGTTTACGTCACAATTCATAATGGTACAGAAATCTTGCCTGAAAAAAAAAAAGCAATGTATGATTATTATAAAAAATTGTAATATTTCAAAAAAACAACATCTCCAATATTTATATTAACCATTGACTTTTTCTGATAAATGGATGAACTGTCGGCGGCAAAAATCCATTAAATTCACAAGATCTAGAAGCTGCATATGCACCCATATTGTTCCATACTAGCCAATCTCCTATTTGTAATTCTGGCATTAATATATCTTTGACGATACAATCATAGGAATCACAAGTTGGTCCCCATAAAGTAGAATAGTATTTTTTATCAGATACTGGCTACAAAAAATCCACTTTATATATATATATATATATATATATAAAGTGGATTATATATATATATATATATATATATATATATATATTGAAATAAAAGAAAACAATTTTGATCATAAAATGTCAGTTATATACATTGAACAGTGGTATTGGATGACGTGAATTCAATTTCAACAATTCTTCTATAAATCCACTATATACTCCGCAGCTAACATAATACATATGTTTCAGACTATTTCCCACAGATACAGTTTTCTTAGAATGAACAACACTAGCCAAAGTAAATGCTGATGTTACGTAATATCTACCTGGTTCGCTTATGATTTCTATAGTAGGATCTATGTCTTTGATTGCATCATTAATCATATGTGAAATCTAAACAAAATACGAAGATAACTGTTAACATATTTCATATATATACATTCAAAAGTATCATCGTAATAATCAAACCTCATCAATTTGAAATTCACTTTCCCCAGGGAATCCTCCACCAATGTCAATTAATTTGATATCATTACATTGAATCGACTTAGCATAAGTAATCAATTCCTTACATATGTCAATTCCACGTACGTACGCATTTAAATCGACACATGGACTACCAACGTGAAAACTAAATCCATATAAAATTAAACCTAAATCCTTCGTAAGTTGTATTAATTCTTTTGCTTCATCACCTGGTTCACATCCAAATTTGGTTCCAAGTTTGACCCATCTAGCGACAGTAGAATTGCCGTCGCAACGAAAGCGAATAACTATTCTATTAAGAACAATATTTGAGTGAATTATCGACATCACGTAAGATAATTGACATAATACAGGAATACGGAGTAAAATTTACTTACTTTGCTTCGGGAAACAATTTTTTAATTTTATAAAGTTCGCATTTGCCATCCGCTGTCATTTTTTCGACACCTACACTTTTGGCAAATTTTATATGAGACGGAGACTTCGTAGGATGTGCAAAGATTATTCTATCTGGTGATATATTCAACTGCATAACTCCTTGAATTTCTTGCTATTACAAATTACGATTCAGAACATATAATATTATTTTACATAAAAATGAAATCATTTACCTTTGATGCGCAATCGAAATTGGCGTTCATAGCTGCAAGAATCTTAATCACCATTGGATGGGTATTACACTTTATAGCTAACAATAAAATTCTTCTATAGAATATTTTTGTAACGTTACATGGTAAAAAAATATTTTAGTAATCTTACCATAGTATGGCACAACTCTTGGCATTTTTTTGATCCAATCTTGATGCTTTTTAATTATAACACCGAGATCGAATATATAAAATGCATCTTCTTGATGACGAGTGCTAATGATTTTTTTTATAATGTCATATTCTACGATCTCATCTTCGTACAGATGAATTTCTTGGACATTAATTGAAGACATTTTTGACATATACTCCATAGTCGATGTTGGTGCTTCAATGTACAAACCCGTATTGTCACTGATTAACGCATGCTTCAAATTTATATGAGTGTATTACAAAGTAACTTACTTAAATAATGGCATGTTATCATAAAACAATTAGTAAATGTTATAATATATCATTAAGAACATTTATTATGCAACCAATTAGGAACTGTTGATATTGCATTAAGAACATTTATTTTCAAACAATTAATAACTAATGTCACATAACATTAAAAACATTTGTTTAATGTCTGTGAAAAATAATACGTAAAATAATAAGTAATAAGAAATTATTATAAATTCAAGGGTTAGTGATTTTGATAATTTACGTTTTTGATTTATATATATATATATATATATATGTATACACAAACTTCTTATTTATATAAATCAGATTTATTATATATAATATTGAAATTATCGTTAGCTTATTAACATCATAATTTTAAATATTAACTTGTAAATTTTCAATATAAAATGAGAATGTGTTACGTTGGTTAATCGTATCTGCTACGTCGATGTGTATCTGCCTATGAGATAGACTATTAGACAATTAGAAAAGGGATTAAAGATAACAGCATTAATTATTATCATGTGTGAGTGTATATTTGAAAGAATTTTTCTACAACGAGCAAAAAGATGTCTCTTCTTTGATTGGTGTATATGTTTATGGAATGAAAAGAAGGGACAGAGATATTGAGAATGAAAATGAAATTTGGAGTTTACTTTGAGTGATATATGCATAACGTTATAACGAATAGGATAATAGCAACAAGGATTAATGAATGTTTAAGCATAAATGTGAGTGGGAATTAGAAAGGCTATGATTCATACATAAGAAAAAGATGAAACGTAGTTATATTTTTGATTAGATCAAACACGTAATAGCGTTTAGAATTGAACAATAGATAGTTACAAATAGAATAACACAGAGTACAGAGTTATTGTTATCTTGATTATAATATAATTATGTATAATGAAAGATTTCGTAGTTAATTAATCGTATTCGTGATTGTGTGCGAGATAAGCCGATCGATGATCGATAAAAAGAGATCAAAAGAATTTCTAACGTTAGTTATTTTTTATATAAACAGATCGTGCTACAAAGAGGAAAAAAAGACAAAAGAAATGATACTTGACGAGAAATAGTTTATGGATAAATGATAAACTTCGTTAAAAATTTACAAAATGATAAGCGTTTGATTAGATGGAACTTCGTATTATTAAATTAGATCGTGTTCATCGTTATTGAGCAAGAATTACTTCCATTCTTTCATACGACTATTTCCAAATAAAATATTCATTCAGAATTATATATTGTATGATTCAAAAGACAAAAAAAAAAAGAGAGAGAGAGAGAGGAAAAAAAAAGAAAAACCACAAAGAATTTTATAACATAGATTTATAATGTGGAAATAAACTTATGTTTTAATTTCTAACGAAAATGATATAATATATATGTATTCATTAATCATTTTTAAAACAACATTCGACGTATTCTTATTTCTTTGTCGCAGATATATATATATATATATATATATATATATTATATTAGATTCTTATATGTATCAATTATGTTTATTATTTTCTAGGGATTTATTGTGTAACAAATAATTACCCAGTTTAGAATATTGTGAAACGCATTCTCCTAAAAAGGAAGATAAACATACGAAACATTGAAAATTAGGAATTAATTGTTAATTAATACTATTTAATATGATACATACGAAACGAATATTTACTTACACCTTAGATGAGAACAATGAAAACAAATGTATACAACGAGATAAACAATGACATCATAAGGACAAATTTCTTCGCAAGAAGTTAATAATAGTTCATAATATATCTAATTCTATCGATGAAATCATCCAAGGTTTAAATATATTATATAAAATAAATTTAATAACGCAAGATTATTATTATTATAATAACAAATCATAGTGATTATATTTCAATAAGGTATATAAATATGATAAATATTATTTTAACATTTAAGAATGATATATATAAATTTTATAACAAAATACAATAATATGTCGATAGTTTCGTCATAAAAAAATTAATAAGTAAATGTTTATATTATATCTTATTATTATTATTATAATAATAGTAGTAGCAATAGTAATAATATATAATGGATTATTCCTACGGAATAGAATAATTAAAAAATAGTAAGAAAAAAGTATACCGTAGAAAACGAACTTGTGTTTTTATCTTTATAAAATTAACGTATAATACGTAAGTTTATATGCAATAATAATTAATATCGATAAAAATTGTTAATAAATAAGTTACTATTGCAGTATCGACATTTATAATATCTTCTAGATTCCATACCTACGTTAAAATATTTATTTCATTGTTTATATAAAGAAAAACGAAAAAAAAATAATGTCGATCGTTCTAGGATGAAATTAAATAGCTGACAGAAATATAACGTTTATTTACCATTTAAAACCATACGAACTATGAAAACATTTTTATAATATCAAAAACGACATAATTGACAACATCAGTGAAAATAAATTTTAACGCTATAGGAAATACAACAAAAAATTGTTTATTAACGATCAAATTAAACATAGAAGTATTTTTGAAAACTCATTATTATAATATTAAATTATTTTGATTATGTTCCAATAGGATATACTTTATACAAACGTAACAAATATGCACGTAAAAATATAATATATACAAAAGTAATAAATCAAAGATGTTGCTTATCTTATCATCATTACGGTAGATGATAAATTTCCGGGCATTTTTTTATTACTTACATACGATTTATATGCAGCTAGAGTAAAAAATCGAAGAACAATATTATAATTGCATCAACACATGAGCAGAAGTAATAATCTGTTAATGAAAACTGTAGACCATCAAACGTTGTAGTAGGCCTGTCGGCTATCTTGGTGCCGATGATGGAAGCACTATATCGAATGAAGCGTGGTTGGTTGTTTTTATCTAAGCAGCGTTCACGTGACTTCAAATGGATATTTTAAATTTATACCAAGAAACGATACTTCATAAGAAAAGAGTGTCCATTTTAAATGAATGTTCATAAAAAAAGAAAAAAAAAGAAAAAGGATAAAGTAAATAAAAATATATTTATTATTATTATTTAACATATTTATAAATATATAAAGATAAATGATAAGTAGAAATATTTATTAAAACATCACAATTATTTTCGTAATCCTGTATAAACTGTTCGAATAAACAATATTTATATCTAAATTTTAAAATAAAAAATATAATAGACATAATAATGTTTCTAATATAAAGCGCATTTTTTTATTATTATTTGAATACATTTGTTACAGAAATTCAAATCATCCATTCTGTTATATATAATCAATCGTTTATGAAACGATTCATAATGATACAAAAATCTTCCCTGAAAAAAAAAAAAATAGGTAATGTATGAATATTATCAAAAATTGTAATATTCCAAAAAAATTAATATCTCCAATATTTATATTAACCATTGACTTTTTCTGATAAACGAATGAACTAATGGTGGCATAAAACCATTAAATTTACAAACAATTGAAGTTCCATATGCACCCATGTCATTCCATACAATCCATTCCCCTATTTGAAGTTCTGGCAATAATACATCTTTGATGATACAATCACCGGAATCACACGTTGGTCCCCATAAAGTGGAATAGTATTTTTTATCAGATACAGGCTGCAACAAATTAACTTTTTACAATATATAATATATAATAGATAAATATACATATATATAAATAATTTAAATATATTAAATTAATTATGTACATTGAACAATGAATTTGGGCGACGTGATTTTAATTTATACAATTCTTCTATAAATCCACTATAAACTCCGCAGCTAACATAATACATCTGTTTCAGACTATTTCCCACAGCTACAGTTTTCTTAGAATGAACGTAGCTAGCCAAAGTAAATGCTGATGTTACGTAGTATCTACCGGGTTCGCTTATGATTTCTATAGCAGGGTCCATTTCTTTAATTGCATGATTAATCATATGTGAAATCTAAACAAAATACGAAGATAACTAATAATATATTTCATATATATATATATATATATATATATATATATATATATATATATATTTACAAAAGTATCATCGTAATAATCAAACCTCATCAATTTGAAATTCACTTTCCCCAGGGAATCCTCCACCAATGTCAATTAATTTTATATCATTACATTCAATCGATTTAGCAAAAGTAATCAATTCCTTACATATTTCAATTCCTCGTACGTACGCATTAAATTCGATACATGGACTACCAACGTGAAAACTGAATCCATATAAAATTAAACCTAAATCCTTCGTAAGTTGTATTAATTCTTTTGCTTCTTCGCCTGGTTCACATCCAAATTTAGTTCCAAGTTTGACGCATCTAGCGACAGCAGAATTGCCGTCGCAACGAAAGCGAATAACTATTCTATTAAGAACAATATTTGAGTGAATTATCGACATCACGTAAGATAATTGATATAATACAGGAATACAGAGTAAAATTTACTTACTTTGCTTCGGGAAACAATTTTTTAATTTTGTAAAGTTCGCATTTACCATCTGCAGTCATTTTTTCGACACCTACACTTTCGGCAAATTTTATATGAGACGGAAACTTCGTAGGATTTGCAAAGATTATTCTATCTGGTGATATACCAAGTTCCATAACTTGTTGAATTTCTTGCTATTACAAATTACGATTTGGAACATATAATATTATTTTACATAAAAATGAAATCATTTACCTTTGATGCGCAATCGAAATTTGCGTTCATAGCTGCAAGAATCTTAATCACCATTGGATGGGTATTACACTTAATAGCTAACAATAAAATTCTTCTATAGAATATTTTTGTAACGTTACAGGGTAAACAAATATTTTAGAAATCTTACCATAGTATGGCACAACTCTTGGCATTTTTTTGATCCATTCTTGATGTTTTTTAATTATAACACCGAGATCGAATATATAAAATGCATCTTC